CGTCTTCTCTTCCGCAGCCTCCTACACGCTGCGTCGCGTCGTAAACGGGCCATGCGCGTGGCGCAACAACTCTGCCGAGACGGAAGGGGAGAAGCACGTGGGGATGAGGGTTGGCAAATCGCTACTCGTAAAGGCAATCGCTCGTACGGGTGCGTATGATGATTGATTGTTAGTGATTCCGGGCGTGCCAACTGACAAGGTTGTTAGTCCCGTAAGTGTAGTGCACGTTTTCCCCTCGGAAGATAGAGGTGATTTTCCCCGCTGGATGGCGAGATCCGGCGCCCACCTACTGTCAGCTAGCAGGGTTTTCCTCAACTAGGGATCTCCCAAAAGCAGGGCACCGCTCCAGCCGGGCTCTAATCTCCAGATCATTCTCCCTGTATGTATTGTAATGTAGTGTAGTGCATGTGAGTGTGTAAATGAGGGGTGGTGATAGGCAGGGAAAAGGAAAGAAAGATCGCGCGCGGTCGGTAGCCCATTTGTTAGGGTTCTGCACCGGCATTCACCTGGAGTTGATTGGAGAAACTGCGGAAAACTACCGATCAGAGCAGCCGGTCGCTAGAATTCTCCTCCAGACAGCGACGAATTCGACATAGCTGACAGGCCATACGGGCATTTTGTGCAATGGCACATGTTATTCGTAATAAATCTGCATATTTGGTTTATTTTACTTATTGATATACGTCAATGTGACATTGCTTTTACCTAATCAACTAAGTGGTACTTCCTTACCACGCGTCGTGGCCAGGGATATTCTGTGTGCTTTCGCTCATCTCGAGTCCTGATGCACGCTATTGCCACAGCGTGAGCGCGGCGCTGACTTCCTGCACAAACGTGCAAGAGCGAATGCCGCCTACTCGGATTCGCAGGGGGGAATGTACAAACGGTTTCAGCTACTAACAGTAATTAATAGTATATAACATGGTTATATAGATTTCTGCAATAAATAGTTAATAGTTAAAATTATTAAGTCGAGCTGACGTGTCATGACAGTTTAAAACATTAATTAATAAATGATATAAAAATGTACTTCGATTGGAAATTAATAAAATGTTGGAAGAATAGTTCATATGTTTATACAGGGGATTCACTTCACGCAATATCTATTTGTCAGAATCGCATTCTGATTATTGACGGTCCGGGTTTTTGAAATCTTGATTATTGACGCTCTGCTGTAAGTGAAATGAGATGTGATCAAAACAACGGTATCGAGGCATAGAATAATGTCGTGTACGTGATGAGAGAGCTGTGTCAGCAATCGGGAAGCTGCGACATGTGCCCCAGGCGACAGATGACGGGAGGAATGGACGCACGACGGTGGCGCACGCGGCGGCGGCGGCGACTTCATCGGCAGCTGCGCCCCACTCACGCACGTGCGAGCGTCCTCTCACCGCCCCCTTCCCCCTCCCCTCCGCCCCTCCCACGCCCTCACCCCTGCCACCGCTGATGGCATCTGGTCGCAGGCACACGCCACCGAGCGCGCGCGCGTCGCCGCTTCCACCGACACGCCGCAGCCGCCGCCGCCGCCGCCGCCGCCCCGAGTTGCCGGCGCCGGCCGCAAGAATGCGCTGCTGTGGTGCAGCCGGCCGCGCCGAGACGGGTGGGCCGAGCGGCCTGCTGCTGCTGTACGGGTGCGCCCGGCGGCTGTCGGCGCCTGCACGCGTCCGAAGAGTGAAGAAAAAAACAAAAATGAAACAAAAAGCGCACGCTAAATCTCGGCGGCTTCCCGAAAGAGACTTGCGCACTGACGGGTGTACAAGCTCTTCTTCCCCGAACCAGGAACACGGAAGATATTAACCGATCAGTGTACTGAGAATTGGGATTAAATTGGAACGGACAGAACAGCTGTAATGTGCATACAACGTACTCGTACAATCCATAAAAGTAATTGAATTCAGAGAATTTGTGTATATCGTACGTCGATAATCCAACTATTTTTATGTCTTGATTCATTAATAAATTTTCCTTCTTTCTCTTAGAAAATTAACTCAAACTTGTTTATGATTAAATATAATAAATCGACCCCCCCTTTGATTCTGAATACCATGGTTCCTTTTAGGCATAAGAATTCTATTATTTATTTGTATTATTGTCTATAAAGTAAAATTAGATTGAGTATGTGGTAGATATACAGTAAACAAAGGAAATTGAGAATGGATAATCTTTATATGACAAATAGAGTACCTTTTTATCTATTAAATGGAGTGTGTTAGTACGCCATTGTCTATAATACTAAGTAATAAAGCACTCCCTAATATAGCCTATTATCTATCAATAATTTACATAGTAACTTATTACACGCAAACGTTGCAAGCGTGCATATGCATTATGCATGGGTTACGCTTCTTAAAATGTAAGTTCATCTCAATGTCCCAATCAATTCCGTCTCTTCATGCTTATTTTCAGTTCAGTTACTTATTGTGATCGAGTAATAAGTTCTCTGATTGCTAAATTTCATGAATGGGTTATTTGGTAATGCGGTGTAGCACAACGCTAACAATGACAGAAAGTACAGGCCGCCTATATTACAAAGACACGAATCCCGTGGTGAAAGAGAGAGTAGTATTCTTTTCCTCGACTCGCTGTGAGTCATAGTGTAGTGTTAAATGCCTCCCTTGCAACCCAGAAGCTTACGTGGCAAAACCGGTTTGTTCGTGTCAATTAATATGAATTTAAATGTGTTTTGGAGCGGAGGCATCGTTTTAGAAATTCGGACAATAAATTATACACATGCGCGAATTATTAGAAATGTGTAATTCATAAATTATTTATGCTATTATGTGGTTTCCAATATTCTTCTTTGTTGAAGTGATACTCACGATAGTATGATATGTGTATATTTTTATGTTACTTGAGAGAACGAACAACAAAATTCTTGCACAAAAATGTACAGAATACGCAAGAAAGAATGTCTGAGAAAATGTCTGAAAGAATGTCAAACTATACTCTGAGAGGAAATAGAAAAATTCTGAAAAGACGAGAACGTGATTGTCTTTGTCTTGCAATGCATAAATACTCGCTTTTATTGATTTGTTCACATTATTTTCATTTTTAAGATCTGCATATTCCTGGTGTGTGTTAATTTTTATTATCATTACATGTGATTTTATTTCAGAAATGTATTAAGTTATTACTAAACGGTAATTAACGCTTTCCTCTCTCCCACGAAATGGTAATATGTGGCGTATGCTCCATCCTAATGTAGGCAAACTAACATTCAAAGGTGTTGGAAAGTTTTCACATTAATATAAGACGAATATTTTCTTTCGTGAAAGAAACGTAGTCATTTGAGACAGAAAAAATCTCGAGATATAAACAGCTGATAATTATAAAAAGAACACTCACATAGGGAATTTAAAAAAGTATGGTCACAAGTTCACGTGATCTTGGAATTATAAGCTATCTACAATGAAATAGGAAGGATATTTCTTGTTTCGAAATTTCCATTATATTGTTAGAAAATATATTCATAAAAAATATTTGTTTATTTAAATAATTAAAAAATGTCAGGATAATTAGTGTATTTTTGTTTGAATTAATAATGTTTTATTTGTTTACTTTGTAGTTTTTTCTTAGCATTTTTCGTCCTCCTCTTCATTGTAAAAAAATTAGCCACCTAAGTAATTAACATCTAATCGTTGTTAAAAATACAGTTGATTATCAGATATCAAATAATGTACCTCGTATAAAATAAGTTGAAAGTTCTATCGTTTCATTCTGACTTATTCATTATTGCATTATCGCACTCTCTCCCTTGCTGCATGTACACATATTTTTCTGTGGCTCATATAGCAAATACAAGCAAATATTTGTGAAAAAGAAAAAGATAGCTTTTAGAAATCTCCTCCCGCAGCTGGAGGCTGGAATATCCGTGGGCACCCTTCCTTCCCCTCTTCCCCTTCGGCCCCACCCTCTCGACTGTAAGGGCAACGCAGTTCAAGACCCAGACGAATGATGCAACAATGCATTCCGGCAAGGAAATTAGTAGATTGCAAAATGTTTCTCGGAAACAGTGGCAACAGCGTCGTTTTGAAACTGATATTTTCTTGCAATTTAGATAGGATAAGGAACCTCCTAAATCAATTCCAAAAATTCCTATTCTTACTCGAATCTCTTTTGTATTATATTTATTTCAAAGAATTTCCTACTTGAGAATACGACTATCACGTTCGATGAAACCTTTTCAGGATTATTCAATTCTTCGCATCAGAGACAGCGACAATACCTACACTTTGCACAACAATCACTAATATGTAAACATCGCAGTGCAATTGAAATGTAGTGTAATTGTAGCAACTTGATTAACAACAATGAATTTACTCGAATACTCGCGAACAAGTGAGTTTCATTACGAACGATCACGTAATAAAATATATTGTTGAAACTGCTCATGTGTCGGGATAAAACACGCCAATATTTACATTGTTGCCGCTAGGAATGTTCATGAATAACAAAAGAGAAGTGTGGATGTAAGAGTTCCTCGAGAACTTCATCACAACTACCCGCAGGAAATAAAATATTCCGGGCGCAAGCCGCCCAAATCGAGAGGTAAGCGCATTAATTGCTGGCTCGTGCCGCAACGGTTGTTGAACGCTTGTTTGAAATCCGCAAGCTTCGTGGGGGAGGACAGCGGCTGCAAGCAGCCAGCGTGTGTGTGAGTGAGCCGGGGAGAGAGAGGGAGGGCGACGAGAATCCCAAACCGCGCGGAAGGGGAGGGGGCGGGGGGGAGGGAAGACGAAAAACACTGCAGGACCGTTGCCATAGAGCACGGCGCCGCCCGGCAGCGGTCCTCCCGCGCCCGGCCGGGCGGGACGCGCTCGTCCTGCAGCCGCGCGCGCCGGCAGCCCTCACCTGCCGCCGCGCCAAGCCCCGCCCCCCCGCGCCGCTCACTGGTTCGCGCAGCCCATTGGGCCGGGCGCCGCGCGCCGCCATTGGTCCGCGAGCACGTGTGCGCGCGCGCGCCGTCGTATTTGGAGCGAGTGCGGCGCCCGGCTCGCCTCAGAGCGGAGCGGGACCCCGAGCCGAGCACATCGCCCGCCGCTGGGGTGTTCCGCCTTCTGCGCGCATGAGACGGCCGTCGCCGACCGCCAGCCACGGACGCGAGTGTTGTGTGTGCCAGTGTGGACTTGGACGGCGGCAGCACCGGTCGTGTGTGTGGATCGTGCACGCGCGTCTAGTGTGTGTTGTGTGAAACGACAGTGAGAAGAGAGACCCCGGCGCCCGAGGATTACTCGACGCCGGTGTGGATTTTTTTGTTTTTTTGTGACTGTGTGTGGACTTCTCACGCCAGCAAGATGCCGCGATCGTTCCTGATCAAGAAAAACTACAGCCACTGCCCGTTGAAGAAACGGCCAGTGTTAAAACTGGACGATGAAAAAGGTGGGTGTTGTATCTTGTTTATGTGCACGACTTTTTCGTAGAATCTCGCTGTTAGTGATTCAACGCAACATCTCCAGATGTTCCGCTATACTTTTTCAAAAATAAGAAAAAATCATTGAACTTCGCGATAGGTGGTATTTTGTCAACAAGTAAGTGACATCGCACAACTCTGTAACCGAATTTTCGACTTTTCGTCATTTTTCCGATTTTCGCCGGTGACGCCCAAGACTTGTTACGTTGCCGCTCAACTCCAACAGCAGTTCAAGTTCGTTCTTTTCGTAGTGAGTGCAACCTTCAATAAGAACCCGTACCTGCCCCGCGCGCAATCTTTCGCGTTCGCTTCGTGTGTCTCACCGCGGCTGGTTGCCGACAGCGCCGCGCGACCCGTCCATGACCTTCCGCGGCGATAGCGTCTTCCACCGACGAACGATGCCCGTTTGTTTACGCGGCACCTCGTCGGGGTTGCTCACGCCATCCGCGTGTTGCTCTCTGAGCGGCGTGCGCGCGCGTGATCGCGCTATCGTGACGCGTGAGAGCGTGTTTCCCGTGATTTCGCCGATCTTTTTTCTGTCCGGCGCGTGCGTGGGTGGGTGGTGGTTCGAGCCCCGGGTGGAGGAAGTGCGGTGGTGGTGGTGCTGCTGCTGACGTGTCCGCGGCGTGAGGCGCATATGGCTTCGGCCGGCGCCCGCGCACTTTCACCGCCGCGCGTTGCACCTGCGCGGCGCAGGGCGAGTCGCCCGGCGCGCCGGCGCGGCGATTTGCGGTCACCGCGACACTTCGGTCGGAATCGCGCGCGCTGGTTACAAAATCGCGCAAGCTCCGACTCGGGCGATGTCCCACGGGCGTAGCACACGTTTTGATGAATGATACGCGAAGTCTCGCATTACAACTGGATGAAAGTGGTAACTAAAGAAAAAATTCGAAAAATTACATAAAGTTCGCCAAATTTATCCGATCTTTTAAATTTCTTTTTTAAATTAACTGGAAATGCTCGTCATGCGTATTTTTTCCAATGACAATTTTCACTTTTGCTTTACATCTGAGTTCATGTGCGCCCCTTCAAAATATACATACCATGTGCGTGGTGATATCAGACTCTTATCATATTTAACATAAAACTCGTTGACGCCGAGTTTTGATGGTAATATGACGTATAGTAACTTTTACGATTTTATCAGGAACGTCAAACAGAATAGGGAAATGCAATTTTTTTTTGTTGCCAAAAGTGCATTAAATCGAAATTGTTATTTTAAGTGAGAATATAAATATTAGCGTAAATTAGTTAAAGAATTTATTATTCCTAAAAACCAGCGTTTCTACGGCTGACTTGAATAACGGTACTTTGCGTAAGATGTGATTCATCGAAACATACCTACTCTTGAAAGGCACTTTTTAGTATTCCTAAGTAATACTTCGGATTTCAGGCTAATAAATCAAATTTTTGTACTTTTTCACAATTACATATAGTTAGAAAAACATATTTCGCATGGGTACAAAATTCGCGGAAGAACGCCTGAAAATAGTTTTCCGCAAGTCCAACGTTCGTTGTAGTCATATGCAATCGCAATTCCCTTCTCCAAACGGGGAAGAAAGTGCTCACTCGGGCATTTCTGGCCAGTTCGAACCGGAAGCGCGGTTCGCGCCTCGAGCCGCGTAGGCCGACGCGCGGCGCCGGGCGCAGATGTTCGCTGACCCGAATTCGGCGCCGCGACGCTCTCGCCTCGCCACTTCCGGTCTTCCGATGCCGGAGGTGTAAGCCCACCAAATCCGAAGACACGGACGGGCCACTAGGATTTCACAAGACCGACCGCAGTGCGCTAGCGGCCTCCCTACACCTTGTAATTAGCGCGCCATATGGTACTCGGGAGGCGCGGCGGCCGTCCGCATGGCGCGGATTGCGTGGAGATGTTGCGTTGATTTGGTGTTGTGAGACGTATGCGTAATTTTTTTGGTTACAAATTTTGCTTCTAAATATGGTTGTTCACTATTATTCATGTTTGTATGTATTTGTATTGCGTGCCTCACACGACTCTTTACAACCAATGTTATACAAAAATCAACATATAAGGTTCAAAAAATAAACGTATATTTTTGCTTAAGTGCAATCTTTATAAGTTTTCACAGATGCTTTGATAGGGGAAAAAATGTAGTGCACGCTAGTTGTATAGCTTTATTTCTCGTTTGCCCTGTGACTAACGGGTTGTTTCCTCCTTCGCAGATGTGGCGGACAACTCCGAACCGGAGAACCTGAGCACGAAGCCGGAGGACCTGAGCATGAGCGCGGCTCAGCACCAGTTCCCTCACAAGGCCATCACCCCGCCCCCCGCGGTGGCGCTCATCTCCAGCTTGA